CTCTTCTACTGCTACTCTCTCTTGGACCTTGTGTTTTCTAATGGTATCCATACTCATTGTGTTTTCCAGCCTAGCTCTGCTAGGCTTTATGAAGGTTGATGATACAAGTATATGATAGAAGACTGTGTAGCTAACAAGTGCCCTATCATTACAGACAAAACTACAAAGACTATTCACTGGAATCCAGACTGCATTTTAGGATTCATGCAGCACTCAACAGTCTAAAAGGTTCACCACCATCAACTCCTCCTTGGTAATTTAAATATGATCGATACAACTTGAGATATGGAGTAATTGCACTTGCAAAATCCAGCTAAAATTTATGAAGATTGGAAATACTCCTGGATGATTCCTGCTGAGTCTCAATCTGTTCTTATTTGTATTGCTTATGTTCAAAAAATTCATGCCCCCACCCCCATAAAAGATACATTCACACAGTAAGATGTCAGTCTGTGCCTTGAAATAATTCTAACTTCTGCTGATAGTTTTTGTAATTATGTATTAATACAAAATTTAATTTTAACCAATTTGAACCTGACTCCGTTCAATGCTTGACTGACATTGAAATCCACACTGAATTTCTTAGGAACTGATTAAAAGAAGCGATTTTATGTCTCATTGGATCTTGTGTGGGATAATCAAAATAATTCACTTATTTATCAGTAAGCATTAGACTTAACCTCTGAATAGTAGTTTTGTTTTGTGCTTCTCAGTTGAAATATTGACTGTCTGCTGATAAGATCCTTACTTATTTGCTTAGATGTGATTATTATTTTTTTAAATAATTTTTTTTTTATCTGTGATGTACAATAACCATTGTTATTTGAGATGCTGAATATCTACTGGGTTTTTTCTATTCTGGGAGCTTTTCAGTTGGAAAGTATTAATGAGATATTAAAAAAAAAAAAAAAAAATGATTTGTAGGATAACCATTTATTCTGCTTTTACAGATTCAACTACAAAGAATATTCAATGGAGTCAAGATTGCACTTCAGGATTCATGCAGCTCTCAGCAGTCTAACTGATACACCAGCATTAACTCCGTAATGATCCATTGAGTGATGGCTGTGCAATGTATTGGGGTTTCAGCTGCTGGTGTCTAGTGAGAGATATGTGTTGACCGACCAGAGATGCTCAGTCAGATGAATTTAAATTCCAATGACTGTTATCCTCTGTGATCCAATCTGTTGTTTCATGTAGCAATTATTTTCTATGGTGATTGTACTATAAAATTATAAATATATATAAAAATATACACATGTTCTATACTTAGAGAACCGACCATAATAAAAAATAATGCGGATATATATTTTGTTTCATGAAAGAGAATAATTTATGACTACTCTGACTTGAATGAAAATACTTTAAAAACAATTAGTAAAATCTGATATAAAAACAATGTCTCATGGTGTTCTTCATTTACATTTTTGTATATTACGTTAAATGTGTTAAATGCGAGATATGTTGTAAACATCAAAGAGCAGGAACAGTATGAATTAAAAATATTACAACATATTAGTGTTTTTTTGTTTTTGTCATCATTCTGGACCAGCGGATGCATAACTTAACATATTAATAATTTATTGTATTGTCCGGAATGGGACGTACAGGTTTCTGTGAATGAAGCAAAATAGATCCTTCGTCTCTATAGATATTGCTGACAATTAGAGTATTTACACTTAGGTGATTATTAAGATGCCAATCAAGATGAGGCAGATTATATACCTACCTGTTGTGTCAAATTCTGGTTGTGCAATACACAGTCAGTGTTGTGCAGCATCAAATATATTAATTTTAGAATTATGCTTTAAAGCCAGACGTGCCATGATGATGTAAGTGACCGAAAACTACAAAATTTTAATTTACCAAATTTGTAATCCTGACTCTGGATTTAAGGCCTGAAATTAACTTCATGGCTTTATTAATGATGCATTAAGGTACGCTGCTGGTGCTCGGTACGCCCACTAAAATTCAGCATCTAAGTATTGCAGAGTGTGGTTGTATTCACCATTTAAGTATTGATGGGTTGAGGAAGCTTTGAAATTTTTTTATTTTTTTTATTTTTTTTTAATTTCCATCTGGAAAATTTGAGGGATGTTCAAGTTCACACATTTGTTCTAATGTTTTTGTTTGTTTTTATATCAGTCCTCCAGTATATTAAAATTGACATGACTTAGAAATAGTACATCGAAATGTAACGTAATATAGGACTACATTTATTAATTTAATTAACTAGAATGATTCTGTAATCTATTTTCTGTCCCTTCCACACTCTGTGCACTCTCTCCAGCCTACCCAACTCTTCTTTAATATAACTAATATGTGTTCCCCATATATTTGTAAGCTATAAAACCTGTACATGATTACAGACATCAACACAAATATTAGCTTTTTTCGTGCTTCTAGAATTGCTATGTTTTACTGTGGATACAGTAATAATGTATAATACAGCATGCTTTGGTTTCGACCGTGTAAGCAGTAGAATTAATTATATGGGGCATGTATATTTCTGAGCAAAGCTATATCTGTTATTAGTGGACCACTTTCCCAATATCAAGTGACATTGTAAGTTTTAGTTCCTAATCCAAAGATTCAATTAAAATGGACACTTTATTGTAACAATATTAGATTAAAAGGGCATGACTTAGAAATAGTACATCGAAATGTAACGTAATATAGGACTACATTTATTAATTTAATTAACTAGAATGATTCTGTAATCTATTTTCTGTCCCTTCCACACTCTGTGCACTCTCTCCAGCCTACCCAACTCTTCTTTAATATAACTAATATGTGTTCCAGTAAGTGATGATTACAAATCATGCTTTTTTCGTGTTCTAGAATTGCTAGAGTGGATACAGAATAAATAATAGCATCTTTGGTGACCGTGTAAGCAGTTTAATTAGGGGCACTGAGCAAATTTCTGTTTAGTGGACCTTTCCCAAATCAAGTGACATTGTAAGTTTTAGTTCCTAATCCAAAGATTCAATTAAAATGGACACTTTATTGTAACAATATTAGATTAAAAGGGCCTTTGACGAAGGGCAAATCATCATAAAAAGTACAAGGCACCTTTGTTCTGATGGTCTGCTACTTTTTTGTTGTAAATTTAAATAAATTCAGTAATGGTGAAGGAAAAGCAAAAGACAATGCAGCACGGTTATGAAATTAACTAAATTTGCTAAATAATGCTAAAATATTGTAAAGAATTGAATAGAATAACTTGGCATGCATCTGTTTCAGGAGAGATTGGCATAACATTCCACAGTGAGTGACATTATCTATGCTCCTTGCTAATAAACTGTACAGAGCACTTTCTCATAATCCCTAACCAAACTATAATAAATGTAAGAATTGTAAACCAAGATATGTTGACTGGGTTTTGTGGAAAACTGTTACATAAAGGTAGAGTAGAATGTAGACTCATTAGTGGGACAAGGGCAAAACGTCAGGATGTTGATGCTATATAGAGTCAAAATATAGTCAATTAGTGTACTGAACTCCTTTAAACCAGACAAAATTTTAATAAACTTTAATAAATGTATAAATTTAATCTTGAATAAATTGTAATTTAAGAGGATAACATCATTGGGCAGTGTCCGGGCCAGGTCAGGCCACCTGTGTGTGATGGAAACCTTCTGCTCAGCTAATCCCTCCGTGGTTGTTGCATGGGCCTTAAATAGATATTCCAGACCCCTAAAGCACTTTCGCGTGTTTGTTTTTTGGTTTTTTTTCCCTGATCATGGGCTATGTAACTCAGTACATATATCAAATGCCAACTCATGCTTTGGCATGACACTTCCCCCTTAAGATGGTAGACCGAAAGATTCAGACACAGGCTGATATATCTGTCTATCATTAACCCTCTAGTTCTCCCTGTCGAGACAGACCATCTGCATTCCCATGCAAGCTGCCCTTTTGTGCTGGACAGTGAAATTATACAGTTGGAGGATAAGATTCTGATGAAGCAGTTTACCATTGTTTCCTGACACTCTGTCTAGCCAATGCGGAGGGTTGTGATCAGTTATGACAGTAAAGTCTCTGCCATACAGATATGGCTGTAATTTCTGCAAATCCATACCACAGCCATATCCACAACAAACATGCCTGATTTGCCTGTTTCTATTTCACATCGATCTCTGGTCACACCCACTGCGCTCATGTAGCAGTTCCAAGGGGAAGAAACCAATAGATTTCTGCACCCCCCCCAATTCCTTTGATGGACATTGTTCTTCCAGGGATTATGTCCACTGTATTCACCACTTCAGGGCACACAAGGGTGAATGAAGCTCCAGAATCTCTGTCACATGGTCACTCAGTCACCCACAATTACACTCTGCAGATTATACTCTTGTTTACCCACAGACCTACCCACAAGCAAAACTGATGGTGCCCCTGTGGGTTTGCTCCCACTTCCACAATCTGGTTGCATTGAAAATAGCGGGCTTGTGACTCACTCGACATATCCCCTGATGCGCTGGCAGTCGGTGGTGAAGTTCTCATTTCAGATCTTGTGGGTGGTGCTTGAACCGTAGCCCCTCTCCAGGTTGAAGTAGCAGCCCACATAATTCCATGCCTGGCTGTGGATACATGGATGTCTGCGTAATCATCAGCAAGCATCATCCCTCGTGTTTTTTTTTTTTTTTTGCTTTCATTCCAAAATCCACTCTCGTACATTAGGGCTCCGGTCTGCAAGAACTGTTCCAGGACCAATAAGGTAGTAGCTTGTACTCCGGTAACCCATTGCCGGTACATGGTTTCCAATTGTGTGACATATAGAATGCAGCTGGATGATGGGCATTGCTGCATACTCCTAAACTTTTTTTCTATAAGACTCAGGAGTAAGGTTAAAGTTTTTTGCAAGGCAGGTTTGATTGCTTCATAATCGTTATCATTTCTGGGGGAAGGTTCACAAACACATCCAAGGCTTTTCCTTTCAGTTGTGAAGTTAAATATCTCCCCAACTGGTCTGAGGGTAGTTGATGCTGCCTGCATACTTTTTAAAAATTTTTTAGGAATACATCCAAATCAAAGGGAAAATCATCCTTGCGGAGCCTACATGTATTGGAATCTGATGCATTGCTGTTCAGTGAAGACTGAAGGGTAAACTGCAGTTTGGCAATTTCCAGATCATGTCTCCTTGGTGCCTCCCTTTTCGCAGATTCTCTTTCTGCCAGCCTTTCTGCAGATTCTTTTTCTGCAGCCTGCTGTTGGATCATCATGTGTAGGGCCTCCTGAGGTTTTGCAGCCATCAGTTGCCGAAATAAATCCATTGAGCAAATGTCCTTGTTTTGAGGGGTACAACCACTAGGCATTCCAGTAAGCAGTGCTCCTGCAGTAGTAGGGAGCTCAGTAACCTTTTCCATGTCAGTCTTCACAATGTCAGCAATAAGTTATGCCTTGTTTTGCCAAAAGTTGGTCAATCCTTTTCTTGGCACAACAATTCTAATGCCTCTTTGGATTGTTTGCGATAGGCCTCCATATTCACAAGAGATGGGGAGGGAAGACCTGTTTTGCACTTTGTATGTCTTTTAAATCAGCACTGCGCTTGGTTTTTGGAAATGACACAAAAAACAATTATGCAATTTATTTTAGTGCTAAGACCCCCTTTACTGGTAAAATCTAGCAAGCACTAAAAATCTCTAAATATATTCCACCAGCTGCCGCCAGTTTGTCACGAACGTGAGCTATTGGCCCAGCCGAGACAGTGGGGAGAGTGTGGGAGTGAAAGGGTTAATGACATCAGACCCCTGGATGCCTGTTGCTAGTCCCAGTAACCACCAAATTAACCCCTTCAATCCCTTCTACACTAACACCCTAGTACACACTTTACTGCCACCACCAAGACTTTATACCCGTATATGTAACTCAGTACATATATTAAATGCCAACTCATGCTTTGGCCTGACACTTCCCCCTTAAGATGGTAGACACTCAGTAGAATTATTGTATCACAACCTTACTTTACAGAACAGACATATATGATTAACCCTTTTGGTAACATGTTTACCTGAACTTTCCTCAGAAGAGTGAGCTCATAGAGCACAAAGACACAAACAGATTAAGTAAACATTTAATCTGACAAAAAGGATTTACAGTGCTGGTTACAAAAATACAAAAGTTAATGGCATACAGAAATACAGATAACAAATTGCAAAACAGTCCATAAAAAAATAGGAGAAAACACAAGAGATATATTTAAGATTCTTGTGGGAGATTCCGATGTTAAAGGACCATTATAGGCACCCAGACTACTTCAGCAAAATGAAGTGGTCTGGGTGCCAGGTCCATCTAGGGTTAACCCTTTTTTTTTTTTATTAACATAGCAGTTTCAGAGAAACTATGTTTACATTAGGGTTAATCCAGTCTCTAGTGGCTGTCTCATGATGGGCAGCTTTCCTATGGACCGAGTTTGTTTTCCTAGCACTATAGTGGTCATTTAAAGTAGTTGTTAAAAATAAATCTCTCTCTTGATATTCCAACATCCTCAATATATACCTTAAAATTAGTTGTTTCTCAGTGGGGAGACCCCTGGGTGGATCAGAGGAGTTTGACCTGGCAGATTATTGCCCACTCCATATTTTCTTAAATTATGTTGTTCTTGAAGAACCCAAAGTCAGAGCATATGCATCAATATTGTCACTTTTATAAATTAACCTTGTTACAAACACTGGCTGTCAATCAGACAAATGGGCCTTTTACGTCCTGCTTGATTACCTCAGTGGTGCTAAACTCAAAAGGCACCAATTCCTCACAGTACCTACCTTACAAATACTTCTCAATAAAGTACATTGGGAAGAATGCAATCGGACAGCGACAGAAAGTTTTGGTGGGGCTAGAAGGGGAGGGCTTCCAAAGGCATCAGATAAAATCTGCATTTTCCTAGAAAATTAAATGCATGTGTTTTCATTGGGCTAGGTCTGCTGAACAGTGATTTCTATTTGGGTCTTAGTGTATTGGACCACCTACAAGTGAAAGAAACAAAACACACTGAGAATTCATAAAAGGCAATAATGAAGGTGATGTTTTAGATAGAGGCTCCAAATATCAAGGGTTCCTTCCACGCCAGTTAATGGTGTGATTTTACTCTTCATCTCTCTGAATAGGGGCAATCTGGATTGGGCACCCTGTGGGTCATCTGCCTGAAGGTAGTGCTGGTCTTGTATTGTTAGTCAGATAGGTATACGTGTTGGCAGAACCAGTGACAAGAAGACAGATGTAAGAAAGGCATGAAGTAGACAATTTTTCTATCTTTATTTCAACAAATGTACCCCTTGATTTAATTTTCAAAAATACATTTTCACCTAATGTGTTGGAATCCAAAACAGTTTTTCACTAATATTTAAACTGTAGGGAATTTAAAGTGAATTTCACATTAAGTGGCACAGTCACCCAGTACTCTTTTAAAAAAAATAAAAAAAAATAATAGAGACACTTTGAATTCTTACTTTAGTGAATAACTATGTAAGACGAACAACCTGTGTATCGCTTGCACCTATCTTAAATTCATTCCTCCCTCTCCCCCGATTTCATTACTTTCATGTTTTACAGCTCTACCAAATGGATTATAAATGAGCCCCAAGATAAATGTAACTCAATAAGCTATTAAGATAATGTCAATGCCGTGTTTCTGGGCCAATGACATACTTGAAAACGAGAGAAATATCAATGTATCCTTCCTGGTAAAATATTATATTAATACATAATATGTAATAAATGTGTATCTGTTTATATGCAATTGGCTGCAAAACAATATAACTGACACCAGGTGGCAGAATTGTCATTCGAAAAATTAGAATAGGGGAAATATAGCAAATTTCCCGATTATGAGAAAACCAAGAATGCCTCCTGTTTACAAGTGTGAAATAAAGAAGATTTTTTTTTTTTTAAATGTATTAAAGATTTAGAGTCACTGACGCACATCTGTTATCTTGGCATAAACTACGTTTAAAATATGAATTTGTGAGGATCATGTAGAAGCAAATTCAGAAAAAAAATATTTGGGTTTTTTCAAAGGCTCAAATTGATAAAATTACTAAATTTGCTATACTTCAAATTAAGCAAAATCCAAATTAGAATGTTTGTCCTGAATTACAGGCTAAGGTCATGAAGTTGGGTCAGAATTGTTCAGGAAGCAAATTTTAAACAAATAAACATAATCCCCCTAAAAGACTACATCTAACTCCCTTCTCTATCTTTAAAACTAAATCTACACAATCTTAAAGGATCACTATAGTGTCAGGAAAACAAACCAGTTTTCCTGACACTATATAACCCTTAGGTCCCCCCACCCTCAGAGTTACATAGTTACATAGTTACATAACTGAATACAGACTTGTGTCCATCAAGTTCAGCCTTCCTCACATATGCTGTTGCTGTTGATCCAAAAGAAGGCAAAAAACCTGGTCTGAAGCGCTTCCAATTTTGCCACAAACTGGGAAAAAATTCCTTCTTGACCCCAAAGTAGCAGTCAGATGTCTTCTCTGATCAAGCAGCTGTTACCCCACTAATTAGAAATTATATCCCTGTATGTTATGATTTTGTAAGTATTTATCCAATTGCAGTTTAAACCTCTGTAGTGACTCTGAATAAACCACCTCTTCAGGCAGAGAATTCCATATCCTTATTGCTTTTACTGTAAAAAAAAAAACCTTTTCTTTGCCTTAGATGGAATCTCCTTTCTTCCAGCCTAAATGTGTGACCTCGTGTCCTATGTACAGACCTGTTTATGAATAGATTTCCAGATAAAGGTTTGTACTGGCCCTGAATATATTTGTATAAAGTTATCATATCCCCTCTCAGGCGCCGTTTTTCCAAACTAAATAGATTTAATTTTTTTAACCTTTCTTCATAACTAAAATGCTCCATTCCTTTATCAATTTTGTAGCTCGTCTCTGGACTTTTTCTAGTGCCATGATATCTTTCTTTAGAACAGGCGCCCAAAATTGCACAGCATATTCAAGGTGTGGTCTTACCAGCGATTTATAAAGAGGCAAAATTATATTTTCATCCCGAGAATTTATGCCCCTATTTATACATGACAAAACCTTACTGGCCTTAGCAACTGCAGATTGACATTGCATATTGCTGCCTAATTTGTTGTCTATAACATTTCCCAAATCCTTCTCATGTGTGGTTATCCCCAATTCACTACCATTTAGGGTGTAAGTTGCTTGTGCATTCTTAACCCTCACCCTGGGCTGAAAGGGTTAAAACCCCTTCAGCCACTTACCTTTATCCAGCAGCGGGCTCCCTCGTCACTGGTGACCTCTCCTCCACCACCGACATCAGCTCCTGAGTGGATTTCTCAATGCTTTCAATGCCATACTATTGACCCTATATCCTTCTATACCTAGACACTTACAATCTTTATCCAAAACTTCCAAATCTTAAACCCTAAACACTCACAAACTCTAACATATTTATTTAAACCTTATATTCCCCTATCTCAAACACCCCTAACATTAAGCTAAATTCCTTAACCCTAAACAATCAAAACCTCTACTTTACTAATCTTATAGAATTGATAATAAGACAACATGGTATGTGGTATGCTATCAATCTCATGGTCCCTTTACCAATAATTAAAGGTATTGCTTGATATATGAGACCTTTTGAGTTGTGCCTTTGAACCATGATAGTGTAATATGCTCTTATTAAAGATTCTAATTAGATGCACATATAAATCCACAGAGATGGAGCAGTTTTGTGTTATTGTTAAAACAAGTGACAGAAAATGACTTTTGTATAGTTTTAAAATACATACCTATAGAGGTAACAATGAGGATCCTATATGAATGATGCTTATAAATCTAAGGGTAAAGGTAGAATAAAATGGAAAATAAGAACATCACAACAGGACAAGAGAAATCACCCGGAAATAATATATAATATATATATAAATATATTTAACACAGACTATGGCAGAATTATTGATATCCTTTGCTTAAACAATATACTTTAGGCATGTGCAATTAATTTCATCCCGAATGTACATTCGGACAAATTTCATGCAATTTGGACATCCGGATGGTTTCGAATGTCCGAAGTGCTGAAGTTCGGTAGTTTGGAAGTGCCGAACCAAACGGAACTGCCAAAGTTTCCAAATTGCTGAAGTTCAGAAGTGCTTTGGATTTCTGAAAATTGGCAAAATAGGAGAGAGGGAGGGAAAATTACGCGAATGATGACAGGAATCTTGACAATTATCTAGTTCCTGGCACTGGGAGCCCTCTAGATGTGTAAGTGGTTGTGGTGGCAGTCCGAGCACTGGGAGCCCTATAGATGTGTAAGTGGTTCTGGTGGCAGTCCTGGCACTGGGAGCCCTATAGATGTGTAAGTGTCCTGGCAGTCCTGGCACTGGTAGGTG